TTTTTTTTTTCCACCATCCTTCTGCAAAATTGGAAACATTACTTCAGATCAGATCATGGGAAAATTTTGAATGTTTTCATGATTTCTTTTACTTCAATTTTCTTCTGTCCGCTCCTGGGAAGATTCAAACGATTTTCCACGTGATTTGCATAGATTATTTATATATAATATGTATATTTGTCATTCTTGTACTCAACAAATTTTGTTATTCTTATATATGTTACCAAAAAAGAGCATAAACAATTTGTGCTCGCAATCTTGCTTTTGGTCCAGAATCTGATCATGTGGAAAACAATGTAATATATTCTTTGATCAATTTACACGGTAGTTGTATCTTAATATGTCAGCCACAATAACAGGTAAGAACAATTTATTTATTTATATATTTTTGAAAAGCCAACGTGACTACTATGTATGGATTTCTTTATCCTTTAACAAACCATTCAAATTCGTGGATTATTATTCGTAGAGATTGAAACACTTCACGCTGGTGGTCCACCTGTAAGTGTAAGTTATTATTCAACTCTTTTATTTTTGTAAAGTGAGAAAGCTTCTATAAGTGATGTATTAACGATAAATTTAAATTGAAGTATTTTATAAATTTACCACATTTTAATTTTTCAAGTTAAATATGTCTTAAATTTTGCATAGGTTTTATTGCTTTAATAGAGTTTTGTAAGAAAAAAAATATAGGAAAAGGACAAGATTTCATTTGAATTACTGATGCATTAAAAGTTAGTATTGAAGATAGAGAAATGATATATGTATAATTTGTATGAATAAAAAAGATAAATTTTGGATGTGATGGAAAAATAGATACAAGAAACAATATTGTATGAATTATTTTGTTCAATATTACTAGGATTTAGCATGAGTTAACAAAGTGCAATTTCAATTGAACAATAATATAAATAAATAAAAAAGGAAAGAAAAATGCCTCTCATTTTTGTGTACTATGATCACACTGAAATTATAACTTATTACTTCATATCTATCCAACTTTTAACACTCACTCAAGTCTATATATAGTTCATAATATTATACCTAAATTTCGTAAAAGAAAAATGATAGGAAACAAAATTGAGTTGGTAGGTGGTTCCCTCGTAGGGACAGGAATTGAGTGGTGCAGACTGCAGAGTGAGAATTTGTGAGAGATGTAACTGGACAAAGGCAAAGCAAAACAATGATTGAGGAATGAGGTACGCTACAAAAGCACAAAGACAAGGTTTTGGTTTTGGAGCTGTTGCACGTTTAGACAGAATTATTAGCTCACAAGTCACAACCCACAAACCAAATAAGCAGCATTTCAGTTTAGATCTATTGCTTTGGATCGGAGGTGGATTCCTCACAGTACTGTTTATGCTTTACTCATAAGCCATACCCCTTTTAGAAACAACCAAACATGCACATCAATATTAAATATTAATGTCCATGCCTTCCTTTTTTTTTTTTTTTTTTTTGGTCTCTTTCCTTGTTTTATTTCAAACTTCTCATTATCCTTAATTGAATCTAAATACGAGCCTTGTGAAGCTGATTGGTAGCTAATGCATCACATGAATGACAGGATGAGACATCCATATCATCAAAGTATTAAATCACTTGTATATTTACACACACAAAAGTATATATTCTTCGAGAAGCAAAAACTTATGTGTATATAAGGTATTTCAAAAGAATGAGATCCATATTATTTAGAATTAGTAGAGTATATTTGTTTATATACTAAAGTGTTTCTTATACTTGTCAAAGAGACATATTTTTATACTTGTCAAAGAGACAAACAACATATGTGATGGACTCATGCTCGTGAAGATGGGTCTCATGTGCTCTGTTTCTAGAGATTAACAACATACTCATTATTATTGACTAAAATTAAATTTAAATATTAACTTGATTCATGTAATATACTATTGTTTTATCATTTATAAAATTATTTTTTTAAAGTGGTCATTGTAAAGTTTCTTTTTCTTTTTCTTCTTCTTTTTTTAATTTTTTAATTTTGATCAGTCTTATTTTATTTTAGTCTTTATAATTTACACATTTTTTCCTTTTTGTTTTGTAATACGTCAATAATTTATATGTAATGTCCACTATTTTTTTTTAAAGGGACTAACCTAAAATGAACAAAGCATTAGAGACTAAAATGAAAGCATATATATTATAAGAACAGAAATAAAATAAAAAGAACCAAAATAAAAATAAATAAATTTTACAAGAACCATTTTAAAAAATTACAAAAACAAAAAAAAAGAGTATATTATATGGAACACAAACATATATAAGCCTACTGAAATTTGAAAATTACAAAATTTTATACTTCTCACTTGTTATATAATAAGCCTTACTCAACTCACAATTTTATAATTTTTAATAAATTTATAATAATAATCAGCATTAGAGTATGGTTAGCATTTTTTTTATATTTTATTTGAATAGTTTTAAAACTTCTTACAATGTCTTTTTACTAACTTTTATTAATTAAATAAACAAAATATTATATACTTCATATGTTTTTAAAACATTAAATATATTTATCTTTCAATCGAATAATCTTTGTAATTAGAATACTAAAAAGATTAACAAGAGAATTGTAAAAAATATATTCATACTATGTCCTTATGTTTGTCATTTTAATAATGAATTAAGTATTAAGGAGGAAAGGGATGTATGAGCTAGCTCCAAGCTTTACAGGTTTTACTTTGGTTATGCAGTGCACGACATATGAGGAGAAAATAAATTAGGATCCTTGTGAAGGGCCATAAGGGCTCTATTGTCCTCTCAATTGGAAGATAAGGCATGAAACATTTGGTCCCCACAAAAGGACTCTATTGAATGAAGACCATTAATGTTCATCATATCATACCAAACCCTTAATATCCACCAAAAACTTCATTCTGTAGCTTGGACACCTTGGAATTTTCAGTATTTCACACCACCTTTTATAGAAAATTTTGGTTATGTAAGGGTTGTCCTAAGAAAACAGTTAGTTGTTTGGAGAATTTTGAACACAAGTGTAGTTGTGATCTTGTTTAATTGCCAAATTCGTATCGTAAAAAAAAACCAAAAAATGTAATACTACAATAATAAATAATTTCATTTTTATAAAATAGTTTGGAAGTTTCTTATTATACTTTTTTTTATGTATACTTCACAATAAATACATTTTAGTTATAAATGTGTAAATTAATTAAAAATTAAGTAAATATATAAATATAATTGACAAAGAAAATAATTTATATAGCCTTAAACTTTGAAAATAAGAAATAAAATTCTTCTAAAAAAAAGACAATTAAAAAAAAAGGTGTGCAATTTCTTACTATATTCTTTATCTTTCATATGAATTAGATTCTCTTTTATTTTTACTCTTTTTTTTTATACATTTTCTCACTTTACAATAAATAGGTAAGGAAATAATAGAATTTTTAAGCTTTATTGATATTGAATAAATTGATAATCAAAATGAAACAGTTTTTTTTTATAGTAAAACATCAAATAAATTAAAATATGATAAACAGTCATGATTGGTAGAGGACTAGCTGTTGAGGCTTACATTTTGATAACTTATTTATCGATATGAGTCAAATTGATATTAAAATTTATTGTTCAATTAAAAAAGTCAATAAAATAAACTCCACAACTACTATTTCAATTGATTATTTTAATTGTTTTAGTTCTATGAATCGGTCTTAAATAAATTGACAAACTACTTCTTAACTCGAACTGTCCCTTGCCTGTAATATTCATTAAAAGTAGGTAACCGTTTGTTATCAGATTGTTTTAATCAGGTTAAAGAAATCATTAAATGAATTATTTATTTTTTTTATAAGCAATCATTTAATGGGGTAAAACTTATTAAAGAAATCATTAAATGGTGTAAAAGGAAATAGGAATCCTGGTTGTCATTAGCACCGACATCAAAAGTAATCCCAACATATTAAAGAATTTGTAAAGCAGAATACACAAGAAGCTTCTAAATGATGTAATAGCACAGAAATTGTGAAAATTGAAAAGGTGAAGAGTTATGTCTGTGAATAAAGTTGGTGATTTTCATCAATGATCGATCAGATACACAGTAAGTAACACAGTCAATGCCTTTGATGTTACTCAACCATAGGACATGCAACATGTTTCATCCAAACAAATACAAGCAATGTTGGTAGCCTACAACATCAACCCACTTTTTCTTTCCATTGTGCTGTGCATGAGAGAGAGAAAAATTACATTACATGTCCAACAAATCGTAGTTACAAAACTACATGAATAAACTTGCCAAAAACACAGCATAAAATTTACCAAATCATGGTTTTAAGTTAAAAATCTTTGAACATCACACGTGCACATGGATTAAAAAAACTTATCATTCTGTTTGACAGTTGGACCAAATGACACACATTCTTCACTGTCAAAGGAAGTTCACACACACGGAACATGTTCTGCTTGGTGCAAACTGCAAACTTCTTTTCTCTTTTAAAAAAAATAAAATTATTTATTTTGGTTTTATATTCACCATTTATGGCTCCCACATGGTACATGTCACAAAATCTGTTTTAGCATCGGCATACGTTATTATCCCAAAAAGGAATACGCAGAAAAAATGGTTCCTTTTTCACCACAATCCGTTGCTTCCATTTCTCTATAATAATTTAGTACTCAACAGCACCGTTTCATGAGAAAGTAGCAAAGTTTGCTTGTGGTTGCATCTAGGTGTTGCTGATACAAGATGGTGAAGAGAGTGAGGTCTGATTCAGGACCATTTTCCGTTCAAAAGCACAATCATGTTTGTGTCAAGTTAGGACTCTCAATTTTCTTGGTAGGTCTTGCTGTTCGTCTTCTCTTGTGGGATTCATTCAGTTTTTCATCAGTGGTGGTGGAGACACCTCCTCCTCTAGAAGAGTTAAAAGCAGATTCCCCTGTTTTATCTTCCCCTGATCTTAAGGATTCTGATTCTGATGACTTTCCAGGGATTAACCAGACTCAAATCTCCAAGGATGGTAAGATGATTTTCCTCTCTTTGTGGTGAGTTTATTGTTTTGTTTGAGACATGCATGAAATGGAGAGTGGAAAGTCTTTTTTGAGTTTCATTGTTTCAAAGATGAAATTTTGTCTATGGAAAAAAATTCACAAAAATGAAGAAGAAAAAAAAAAAAGGGTCCCATTTATGCTAATTTCTTCTTATTTCAGTTGCTTGGGGCCATTTAGATCTTCTGGCTTTTCATGGTTTTTGTTTCAGTTGGTGGTGTCATGGAACGTACCAACCAACCACCAAGGATTTCTTGTTTCTACATTTTGGGAACTGGTGTTCTTCTTCACCAGATCTTCAAATGATTGTTAAGACAAAATTTCAACTTATGTAACTTGTTTCTACTTTCCTTCTTAGCAAGATTTCAGCATCAAGGTTTTTGGGGTTTTTCTGGTCACAATTGTGTCCACCTTTGTCTATGATAACAAAGATCGCGACAAAACCGCAACCAATACCACAACTTAAATTATTGGTTACTTCCTGATGAAGAAGATTGTGGATTTAATTTAAGTAAATGATGCCATATCATATATATCATATATATCAACTAGTTCTTCTTTTTCTTGACAGCACAATGTTAGATAAAGTTTTAAGTAATGTCAAGTGCTTATGTTGGTGCTTAGCTTATAATGCCAATGGTGATGTGCATTGCAAATGTTTTGTTGCAGAAAAATGTGATCTTTTCGTGGGAGAGTGGGTGCAAGACCTATCTGGGCCAGTGTACACTAACGAGAGCTGCCATGTGATTGAGCCTCATCAAAATTGTATGAAGAATGGACGTCCTGATTCAGATTACCTTTACTGGAGGTGGACCCCACGAGGCTGTGAATTGCCCAAGTTTAATCCCAAAAAGTTTCTTAGGTTCATGAGAAATAAATCAATGTCCTTTATTGGTGATTCCATCTCCCGCAACCAAGTTCAGTCCCTACTTTGCATTCTCTCTAAGGTATTGTAAATTTTACCTCAGTTAACCAGATTGCAAATTTGATATGATTGGCCTTTTCAATTTGAAAGATTTTATTCTTGATTAGTTTTCGGTAGGAGAAATTATTTACTAGTCCAGCACTACTTAGTGTTTATAATTCCGATCAATCACTATATGTCATGCATTTTAGTTTTTCAATTTATGAGAAAAAAACAATAACACTTAATTACATATTATTTGAAAATTAATTAGGAATCGTGTAATTTAGAACTATCTAATAATTTTTTGCTTAGTAGGTGTACATTACTTGTGCTTCACTCCACTTTCTTTTGCTAGCCTATTTTCAAGAAATTTGTGTGACATTACCTTTCTTATATTTTTATTTGTATTTAAATTAGTAAAGGCCAAGATTTCAATAATTTAAAATGAGGCCATGTGCTTGTATGTAGTTGCACCTGCATTGTTTATAGAGGGTCTAGTCCATCGATATTGAATCATGGTCAAAATCAATCATCTAATGGTTGTTTCACTTTATGATTTCGTGGTTTTTTTTCTCTGTATTTAAATCAGTAAAGGCCAAGATTTCAATAACTTGAAATGAGGCCATGTGATTGCATGATATTAACTATGTAGTTGCACCTACATTGTTTAAGGAGGGTCTTGTCCATCGATCTTGAATCATGGTCAAAATCAATCATCTAATGGTTGTTTTCACTTTTATGATTCACGAGCACTAAGGTTCAACAGCTTGTCATTTTATACATAATCCTTTTCATTGTGAATAAAGCTGTTGATTCCATTTGTGGGAGACAGCTGTGGCTTGTATTATACAATTGGTCCACACCCTTCAAGGCTCAAATAGTATAGTGTCTTTTCCCAAGCAGCTTTACCTACCAAATGTGGAAAGGCTTGTCTACGTGCACCGTAGATCAAACCTTCAAGATTAGCTTTGAATAATAGAAATTTTGAGATTTCACCTTCCACGATTATAACAGTTACTGTGGTGGATAAAATAAGTTGTGTCCATGTCCATCACAAAATAACCTATTGTATTGGATATTCCTCAATTTGTTGTTGCCATAACTCATAATAACCATGTCCTTAGTTTTGATCTAGGAACTTAAAAAAAATGTTTAGGGGCTTTGTCTAACTGAGTTTTCTGTTACAATTGCTTCTTTCATGAATTAGTGCCATTAGCTCTGTCCCTACAAACATACCAGGCAATCTATTTGTGGCATCGTGTTTTGTCTGCTGTTACTCATTTGTTTGGTCCTACAAATAGGGTTATTAGATCAAATTCCAATTACTTTATTCTGCAGGTGGAACCAGCTGTTGAGACATACCATGACAAGGAATATAGATCAAAAATATGGAAATTTCGCTCTCACAACTTCACACTCTCAGTAATCTGGACCCCTTTCCTTGTCAAAGCAGCTATATTTGAAGACATGAATGGAGTTACCTCATCAGAGATACAGCTTTATCTTGACAAACTCGACCAGTGGACCAACCAATACAAGAATTTCGATTATGTAGTCATTGGTGGTGGAAAATGGTTTCTCAAGACTGCAATATACCATGAAAACAGCACAGTCACAGGCTGCCACTACTGCCCTGGAAAGAATCTAACAGAACTAGGATTTGACTATGCATACCGCAAAGTACTACAAGAAGTTTTCAAGTTCTTCACAAAGTCTAACCACAAAGCCACTGTTCTCTTCAGAACCACCACACCAGACCACTTTGAGAATGGAGAGTGGTTTAGTGGAGGGTATTGCAACAGAACTGTACCCTTCAAAGAGGGTCAGATACATATGATAGGTGTAGATTCCATTATGAGGGGTATTGAACTTGAAGAGTTTGAGAAGGCTGTTTCACTAGGATCTCAAGGGCTGGTGAACTTGAAACTTTTGGACACCACTATCCTTTCACTCCTGAGACCAGATGGACATCCAGGACCCTACAGGAAGTTCCAGCCATTTGCAAAAGATAAGAATGCTAAAGTCCAGAATGATTGTCTACATTGGTGTTTGCCAGGACCAATTGACTCATGGAATGATATAGTAATGCAAATGCTAATCAATGGTTAAACAATGTCCTGCCACTGGATCATCAAGGTTTGAAGCTGGTTACAAATATGATCATTTGAAATTCAGTATTCTTTTCTGCATGGTAGTTAGTTCCTTCCAATGCCTTTATTAGTTTGCAAAGAGTAGTTTATACACAAAGCCATTAGGTTGAGGCTCCGATTGTACATGGAACTGTATAGCGTAATAAAAGCTTGCAAAGCAGTGAAAACTCAAGTATAAACTCAGCTTATGTCCTTTTCAGCATAACTTTTATGAGGAATATACACCTATTTACTTTTATACTTCGATGAAGCAATAAAGACTCGGGATTGAATAAAGCTGAAGCTGCTTGGCTTAGTAAGCTGCAGAGACCAATGCAAATTTTACTTTTCATGTATTACGGCCAAGTTTCTTGCAAACCTTGATTCATATATGAATAAATAGAACAATATGAAATGGCATTTTTGATTAAGGCATCAATAAAACACCCATACTTGTGATTATGGGCTACTTTGTTGAATTACATCCAATTTGAAATAAACACTATCAGAATCAGTAGCGGATTACTAACACCCTGTGATGTCCAGATACGATACATAATAATACAATGTATATAAAAAGCATAATAAATATATAATTACAATTTTATAAATCCAAATTAAGAACATACTTCCTGGACATTTCTATAAACAATAAAAATTATAAATCATTGTCATCATAAACCACTGTCTACAAAGACAGTATCAATCTCATTCCTTTCTTAAGATTATTCATAAAGAGAACAATTTCAATTCTTTTACTGAGATAATGCTTTTATGTTTATATATCACAATGCTTCTATGTCTCATATGTAGCTATATTAAATTATCTTAGCTTTCTTTGAAGACTTGATACTTCAGAAACAATACAAATGAAGTACTCTAAACTATCGGTACAAAATACTTTTGAATATGGTTGCATGAAAAAATAAAGGAATGAATTGATGCTACATAGCTGCCACCATAAATGCCAGTATCCAAAATTGTGTGGGACTTCTATTTTATAAGACGTCTTGACATCTTATTATTGAAGCTGAGTTAATCACATACAAGGTTATCAAATCAGGGTTCAAATTGTGAATTGCTGAGCTAATTTTTAAACCGTGAATCATAATTTGGATCAAATTATAAAGTTCAAGAACAATAAAAAGAAATTAAATATGTTTTTAATCCATCAAATTTAAAATAAATTTATTTTAATTTCTCAAATTTAAAATTGATATTTTTAGTCTCTGTAATTTCAAAAAA